TGTTTGGCAGGAGAGGGCTGGGGGGAGAGGAGGCGGTCGGAGGAGGAGGAGGAAGAGGAGGAGGAAGCACCACTCAGGGCAGACTGAAGGTAAACAGTCTTGTGAAAGAGTCTGTTGCTGAGGAAAACCACCAAGGAGAAGAGACGGAGCTGGAAATGGCTGAAAGGGAAGAGAGCCGGTCAGCTCCTGGTGATGGAAAACCATCAGCCCCCCCACGTTTTTTTGGGGGGATAGAGGGGATTGAAGGGGTGTGGAAGGGTGGGGGTCGATACTCACTAGGTTTTGCTGGGGGTCCTCGCTTCGTTGGCGCTGATGATGAAGAGAGGGAAAAGGATGGAAAAGAGGCAACCGCTGGAAAGGAGGGGGAAACCAAAAAGATACAATATCATATAAAAGGCACTCGGGTGGGTTTGGTGCCTGTCCAGGGGTAGAGGAGGGGGGGGACACCCGCAGACAGGGTGCGAAATGGATGCCCACCCTCCTGACCACTCACCTGATGATGTAAGAGGATTGCATCGCCGTGAGGAAAGCCAGCGGTAAGCCAAAGCCAAAGTAATAGGGCCAGTTTCTCTCGATGTTGGATAACCGTTGGTGCATTTCGATTCCTGGCGAGAAGAAAATCCCGCAGGAAGGAACCCATGGGGAGGAAATATAAAAATGGAAGGGGAAAAAGAAAATAACGGGATGCTCCTTGAGTAGAAAAACCTCCAATCCAGACAAATTTCCACCCCGCCAGCCCTCACCTTTGTTAAACCAGCGGTATTCGAAGCAGTAGAGCGAATAGAGCAGCGACATGTGGAGGAGGCTGATGAGCTGGCCGACGATATCGATGGGGAAGAGGCTCACGATCATTCCCTGGGGATTTAAAACCAACCAAAACAAAACAAAAGAGCGGGTGAGTGTAGGGTGCTCTGGATGCGGGGGAGAATGTCGCCCGACAGCAAGATGTGGAGCAGCGCGGGCTGGCAGGTGGGTATTTAGTGGTTTGGGTTTTTTTTGGCGTGTGATTCTAATCTCACCTGGATGAGGAACAGCGCCTGTAACAAGAGGTTAAACAACATGTCGGCGATGATTTTACTGACGCTGGGAAAGGGATGTGGCTTTCTGCCAGAAACTTCGAACGCGAGATCGGCAATGTCCTGCGAAAGCAAAAAAAAAAAAAAGAACACCCCAAAAAAGAGGGCTTTAGGGAAATGAAATTCCCAAGACAAACAGGGGTTTCAAGGAAATGAAATCCCAAAGCAGCTGGGGTGATGTTATTGAGCTGCTTTTGCACGCCGGGGATACAGTCAGAGCCCATTTTTGGGATGAGATTTCATCTGGCGCCGAAATGCCACCCCCCATGTACCACCAATCGAGCCTTAACGAGGAAATTCTGCCCTCTCCCCTCCTTTGGTTGACACAGGGGTCCAGGTTCCCGTCACCTACCTGGAACCAGATGGCATTGACAACCTTACTGAGCACGAAGAGGGGAAGGACCCAGAGGGCACTGAAAATGGAGGTGAGGATGAATTCCAGCCAAGACCAGACATCACCATGTAAGGAAGGGTCACCTTCGAAAAACAGACAGGGAGAAAAGACGTAGGAACCTCCTCATTTCACATCACAAATATTTCCTGGTACGGCCATCTCCGCGCCACGGGGAAACTTCTCCTGCTCAAGGAGAGGAGAAATCTCTGACCCCAACCTTTGCTCTTTAAAAGAAGATTTCCACCCACTTGCTTTTTATTTATTTGCAAAAACACGCCGACCACTGTGTGTTACGAGCGGTTAAACCCACAGGCTTGATCCCCAACACGCACAGACCGTTAGCGGGCTTATCCATCGCGCCGATTCTCTACTAAACAATTAACGCCGGCCTTGATTAGTACAGGGAGGAAGAGAAAAACAACGCAAGGAAACAGCGGTGCGAGGAACAACTCAACGGGACAAAGCCTCAGCAGCTTCTGGTGGGTGTTGGGAACCTCCCCCACACCCCGTCCCACGTAACACACAAACGGGAAGGGTACTCACCGATGATCTGTGCCGTGACTGACTGAAGGACAGGTATAAATACTCGGTAAAACAAGAAGAGACTAAGCTACAGGGAAAAAAAAAACAACAAGGGTGCTCGGTGAGGCGTTGCACGGCCATTTCTTGCGCTCCTGTAACTACCGATCCGAAGGCAGACCCTCTGCCTGCTGCTCCTTCACGCTGCGATCCGTAAATACAGAGTACCGAGGAGCTCATGTTTAAATATCACCAAAAATCTACAAATGAGCGCTTTGCTTTTAACGTTTCCGCACCGATTCCTCGTACCCTGCCACAGCCTAATGGAAAAACGAAGCCGGTGATTTATTAGGCTGCAAAGTGTCCGCTCCATTAAGGATCAGCCTCACGCAAGAGCCATCTTTAAAATATCAAATATTCAATTCAGTAAAGCAATATCCCAGACTGCAACGGCGCAGCAGTTGAATATTTGGGCGAAAAGCAGTCTCAAAGACTTGGAAAAGCAGCTCAGGTTTAATGTGCTGGTTTCCCACGCGAGTCTACAGTCCTGTATCCCGTATCAGGTCCCTTAAAATACAGCATCGGGATTGGGATCTTAGCGGTTCCTATCAAATCCTGCAGCCAAGCTGACGGCTCACCGCTGACAGCGTACAAGGGCTGGAGTGGGGCGCTGGTTTTCACGAGGTTTTTAACAGAAAATAACAAAAATATCCACTTACCCAGAATACACCTCCGTTCCAGGCACAACACTGAAATATCCGGCTCACTATCCGGGGTTCACTGCGGAACAATCGGAGAGAGGTGTTAAGGTCCCAGCGCCTGGAAAAACGTCCCCTAATAAGTGACAACTGCTTCTGTCCCACATTTCCGACACCTTGGAAACGTCGCAGATAACTGGCTCAATGCCAGGGATGCACTCGATTTTACCTAAACACGGGAATCCTGGAAGAAATCCCCACACAGACTCATGCCAGGTTTCAGCCAGTGCGTAGTCTCTAAAAGATTTACATCAAGCAGACTCTTTCAACCTTTATTAATTCCCCGTATCCACATTGAAACGGAAGAAAAGCAAAGCTTTTTTCCAGATTTTTAAGCATTTATTAGAGAGCTCAAGCTTTGTTCTCCTCAAACTCTCACCACAGTAAAATTAGGACTTCTTGGGTGCTTTTTGTCCTTGTAAGAGGTTGTTTAGTCCCCCCAAAATATATATTATTCCTCAAGGAAATGTGCAGAAACTTCTGGGGAGGATTGGGATCACAGGACACGGGAGATTTTTCTATCATCTGAAGAAAAAGTCAGATGACCACTGAGCTAGTCAGAATAACTTGTAAATATGTCTTGAAAGGCGCATTACCGAGCAAACGTCACCGCGTCAAGTGCCAGCCCAACTGAAATTAGGGCAGCGGAGAAACCTCTCAGCGCGGTTTGGGAGTCAGACACAAGAACAGATGCTGTTTTGCTCCCACGTGGATATAATTCTGGCATTCCCAGCCTTAACGGATGCAACTGCTACAGAACATGGCAAGGTTGGGGGAGAAAAAATAGATATTTGATCTGGCCCAGATGTATAAATCGTATCCAAGCTGCCGTTTCTTCCCCGATCTCATGACTACCACCGACGACGACGTTATCTTTGAGAGACAGCACAAGCATTCAGGAAGAAATCCAGAAATCCACGTTCTTTCAGCTTGTGTAGCTCTAGACTTTCTATTATTATTGTGTACTCTTAATTGTCAAACAACATAAAAGGTCTGACTTTGTATTTCATGGTAGGAGTTCCAGTTTCATGACACAGAGTAGAAAAAGGGCATTTGACGTCACATTTTTCATATTTATTGGCTCTGTGCTTCAGTGCAATTTGGTTTACGAACCATTTGCAAATGTACACCACAAGTTCTGCTTTCGCTGACACCCGGCTCACAAATCTCTGAGGGTTCTGACACGGATTTTTATGAAGATCTTTGCAAGTGCGGGCAACAATCATGGCTTTATTTCTTAAACCTCACTTACCTCAACTTCCCTTTTAGCCAGACTACTGCGATATGATGGATATTTAGGAGGGGAAAAAAAAAAAGCAAGCACAAGCACTGCCAAATCACTGTGACTTGCAGAGGTTTTGCAATTGATCGGGCTCTTCAATGCTCCGAGCAGAGTCTTGCTCTCTCGCCCTGCCCTCAAATAGATGAAAAAAAAAGAAGCGAATTTACCCGATTTATAACCCATCAGGTCCCATACTCACTTCTCTTGCTTCTTCTCTTCCAGGTGAAACCTCCGCTGGGCGAGCGCGCTGTTTGCTCTCCTTCGCCTCTGCTCTTCCCTTTTCTGCTGGATCCGGGCGTCCAGCTTAGAGATGGTGCAGATGCCCCAGATGGAGTCCTTAATTCCCTGCGGACACGAGGAGAGGCCGTCACACTTCACCCCGCAGAGAGAGGAGGAACGGGATCTGGCTGATCCAGGCCATGGAAAGCCTCTCGGTTATGGAAAGGGACTGAAACGGGGCCAGCCTTGCTCGCCAGCTAGCAGGGGAAGTGAGTGCCAGGCTCAGCCGGAGCCAAGGTCTGGAGCAACAACACCGCCTATTTTCCATGGCCCCGTGACCTAAATCACCGCACGTTCCAACATCTTTAGGAGCAGCAGTGATATTTTTTTTTTTAAAAGGTGTAATTTCTCATCCAATCTCCGCTATTTATGACCCTGGCAAAAGCCAAAGAGTCCAATCTCTCACAGCCCGTTTCTTCTGTCTGGCACAAAGCCCTTCATCTCCTGCCAGCACTTCTAAGGCCAATAAAATAGAATTATCCAAAATATTTAGGATCTGCAAAGTCCTTGTGGCCTGACTGTATGTATACGTTTGATGCTTATTCCTTTACAAAGAAAAGCATCTATCCTCCTTCCGGAAACATCCTCACGTTGGCCACAGCCGTGCAAAATTCTTAATAGGAAAGTGCCTAGAAGTCTTTGCCTTACTCCTCATTTAAAAGATTTCTAGTGCCACCTCCTAGTACTCCACAAGCAGCTAGTTACAGCTCCAGATGAGATCATAACCATCGTTACCAAAATTTCACATCCAAATAAAAACCATAAGGATGTGAGTGCGAGCCAGGACGGCATCACTACCCAGGTGACCCACACGACAGTTCAGAATATGCACCAAACACGACAAATTTTGATGCCAAATGTGCGTCTGAAACGGCAGAGCGTGCTGCCGCTGGTACCTGACGAGGCGGAAATTAATTACACAGGCTGCGCTACCCGCTGCTTTACGGATCGTGTGAGAGCATCGTGAAAAGACACAGGTCCTCCCACTTTAGGTCGTGGCCAGTGTACCACAACTCTTTAAGATCAAACCCAGCAAGTTCTTCAAAACAAGTTATTTCCGAAGATGAGTTATTTCTTAGTGTCATGTCACAAATGTTTTTAAGCCTGTATTTACACCTGGATGATACAAGACAGCGTGGGAGCACGGAGTTTACACAAAGCCTTATCACCACGACACAACTGCTATCTTTATAAGGGCTATACGTTAACTTTTGCCCAAGGGAAATCTGTCACGGTTTCAGCAGCGCCCTGGACAAATGCCGAGCCCTTTGCAACAGACACAACAGCCAGCTCTGGAAGAAATCATTCTAGAAAACACTTGGGGAGCAATGCATCCCACACAGCCACATCAAATCTAATCGTCATCAGCGAGTGGAAAGCCTGCCTACAGGAATCTCTGCTTTACAAAATTGAGGTCTTCAATTAAAATACACCTGGAGTCCTTTGTCCTTCAAATTTTTTAATCCACCCTTGATGATGTAGGAAGGAGGGTGCTCCCCACAGAAGACCCACGATCACCAAAGCGAACGAGACCAGTCCCCACGACAGAGGACCTGAAACGCGGGGACTTACCCTGACGAGATCATGAAGGAAGGTTTTCACGCTGTCTGCCATCTCGACTCCAGCATCACCTCTGGTTCCGAAACTATCAACTACAGGGAGAGGGGAAAAGCCGAACCCAAACCTCTCTCATCCTGGAGAGATGGGAAACAGATGGAGCCTGTGGAGAGAGAAGACACAGGACCACAGCAGGCATTAACAACACCGGTCTGAGTGGGGTAGTTACAAACTAAATCACACCATGTCTATTTTCCCTGCCCTCAGTGGCTTCCCATCGGGCAACCATCCTCGAACATACGACCAGAGAAAGGATCCAAACTTAATTTTGCGGTATCTCATATTAACGAACTCGGGATTTCAGGAACAGCAGAGCCTGTATTTCTACACAGCAGAACATCTCTCCGAACAACACGCTGTGCCGCTCATTTTCAGAAGAGAAAAGCCCGCAGAGCCAGCCCAGAGAGGTGTGAAAACATCTTTGCTAAATCCAACGTTAATCTAACACTTTACAGCTCCGCGCCTCCTCTTCCTTGCACACCAGGTAAGAAACTCTAGGTCTACAATTAGGAGCCTGACAAAATGAGGGCTGCTTTTAAGCTGTCCCATGAGCTTCTTTCTGCCCAAAGCAGTAATTACTCCAAACAGCCCTTTGCCAAAAATGTTACACTAAGTCTTCTGCTTCTCATAAAGTGCCACATAAATACAGACACAGCGTCTGCATTAAGAAAAAAAAAAAAATCACCAGCTAATAAAACTCGTGGAAGCTTTTCCACCAGGATTCAAACTGCTTGCTTCTCCTAGGCAGGAGCTACTGGCAGCTCTGGAGCAGGCTGGTATCACAAGCCCCAACATGTCAGTGTTGCTGTTGCTCTATAACATGCAGCACAGGATACAAACAACTAAAAATAAGTTTTAAAAAAGGTTTTTATTTTGGTTATTCAGAGACAAAACCTGCCAGGGTTTGAACTGCGCTTCTGTGAAGTGGCAAATGCCAGTTGGGATGAAACTGCAGAAGCAGAGCCAGGCTACAGCTTTATTAACGTCAAGTTAATCACAGGCACCTTCACCCTAAAATCAAGCCTTGGGATGCAGACGCACTCAGCCCCATGTGTGGCAGCAGGGTCTTTTCGCTTTAGCCAGGCATCCAAGCTCTGGGTCATGCTGGTGGAGCCACGACAGAAACAAAGGCAGAAACGAGCATTTTCTTTGTTCCAGGCAGCCGTGCCTCACCACCCTTCGGGCTTGGAAATCTATGTGTTAAATACAGTGAGACCTGACTGTGTTATGGTCCCGGCTTCTACAGAAAGCCCTGCCTGATTTATTTTTACCCAGGGATATTCCTGGGTAACTGGGGAGAAGCCCAGGGCTGGGGGTCACTGTTCAAGATGGGGGATCCTCACAGCACCCCAGAGGTGCCCGGGATGGGGAGCCCAGGCCTGCCCCACAGTTATGCCATGGGTACGGGCATTGTCTCCCCCCACTGTTAATGGCGGTAACCCTCACGGTTATTGGTTATTTGGGGGGAGGACAAACTTACCTCAGAGCTGCCCCATAGTTAATGCAGGGGGGAATCCCTATAGTTTACGCTGGGGGGGGGGCACTATTTTACCTCAGTCTCCCCAAGAAGTGAGGGGTGGCATAGTTACCTCAGGGCTGGCCCACGGTGCCCCCAAAACCCACAGCTACCTCAGGGCTCGCCCACAGCCCCCCCTGGGA